TTTTTTTTTTTTTGTTGTATTTTTTTGTTTTTTTTTTTGTTCTATTGGCGCTGTTGGAAAGCAATTCTTATTTTCACAATGACATTTCCCGTAACCAACGTTTGTACAATATAACAATCCAACGTAACAAAATGTATGTAATGTATAATAATGACGCAATCAAGCTGCATCTACCTAATATGAGAAAATAAATTCTAGAACTTGTTGCTGCTACTATTTTATGAAAATACAATTGTTACAGTACATCTTTCGTTAATAAAACAGAATAAAGTCCGATAAAATAAAGAAGTAAATAATAATATTCTAATAAAATAAAAATATAACAGAATGAAATTCAAGAACTTATTTTAAAAAATTGTTGCTGGTATTGTTTTATGAAACTGCAATTATTCCTTTCATTCGAAATTTTCAAAAATCAAGATAGTCCTTCATTCTTCACAAATGAATCCATAATTTTTGCATATTATATTTAGCGAATATCGAGAAGAATTGAAGGAAAAGATTGAAGATAGATCTACCATTGCAGTAGAAAATATTAATTTAGAGCTGCTGAAAATGTTCTTGAAAATTCAGAAAAGAAAGATTAACGAAAAATGTCGAAGGCTCTGTTGAGAAACAATTTTGATCTAACAATAATAAATATATCGTATTAATTTTGCTGTAAATGTAATTACATTGTCTTGATGTTGAAACTACGTAGACGCAGCTTTATCTCGCGTTTGTCAGAAAAAAAAAAACATTATGTACAATTTCTCTTTATATATTTGTATAGTGAGTATCGATCAAGTTGTCTACATTAGGATTTATAAATACCTGGACCAGCGAGCTTTACGGATCTGAAAGTCTGATCGTCGCTTTCGTAGCCTCGCGGCTTCCAAAGAGGTGGTATTCTGCCGTCATAGTCGCTCTCGTAGTCGCTTTCACGAAATTCGCCCTTCACGAATTTAGAAGGACTCGGAGAGGGTGGCAGGATCTTCTTCGTTGTCTCCAACTTCTTCTGCGACTGATCTGTGGTGTAAATTGTTTCCTGGAAAAGAAATTGAAGCCACTTTAAAATTATTATATATCATCGTGTGTGATGGAATATACAACACTTTTAACAGCCAATGCTAACGAAAAACACAAAGACACACAGTTAGTTTTCAAATGAAAACATGTACAAGTTTTTCATTTGATGTTAATTTTCCATTTTTTATTTTGTGTTATCGCGTCGAATAATATAATGTTTGATACATAAAATCGATCAGATATTTGTTTGAATTAAATGAATTAAGCTCAGAGAATTCTATGTAAAATACAGAGAACCTGTTTAAAGTTAATTTAGAAAACTTGCCAGAAGTTTTCCAGATTTCAAATAATTAATTTCATATAATTTATATTATAAGAGTTATATATTTGATACACTTTTATTATCTTAACTCTATTCTGCTCTATTCTGCACTTTTAATATTTCATTCAACTCTGTGCTCTCATATAGTAAATCTTTAAACTTCCACGTTTAATTTCAATATATTATTTTTTCTGACACTAATCTCTTTCATGAACAATCTATCAATTCACGACTAGAAAGCAACAATCTATATTACATTCAATTCTCATCTTAAAACACAACAAAAACCTGTAACAATTTTTTTTGTTAAAAAAAAAAGAAATCATCGACACAAGTGTTATCTCAACACAAAAGCTGCAAGAATACGTTTGTTAGAAGCATCATCTCGTCGCTCGATGAAACAAAGAAGGACTTTTTCGTTCCAAGCAACTGAAAACACACGTCTCGAACCTTCGTGGAACTGAATCTCGACGGGGAAGACGCGGAAGGTGCGTAGCTCTTTTCGACGAACGAGCTACGTTGTTGAACGCTGGCTGGCTGAACCGGCTGCTTCGAAGGAGCAGGCGACGTGACAAACGATTCCTTCTTCTGTTGCTGCTGTCGGCTGTCGTAACACTTGCTCTCGAAGTATTCCGATCGACTCTCCTGATACGAGGTGCGCGACTCCGTGTGAGAGGTCACCGACGACGAGGACTCGTGCTTGCCGAAACTCTTCTGCATCGACTGAACCGAGCTCCTCTGCTGAAACGGCTCGTCGGTGTCCGCCATGTATCCGCTCTCCTGCTGGAACGTCTTCACCTTGAATTTAGGAGACTCTGGCTTCCTGGCGGGTGGACTTCTCGGCGTTGGACTCTTCGCGACTGGTTGAACGTAGATAGGAGGAGAGCCAGGCTTCAGCTCGATCTGCGGAGGTGGCTGAACCGTTTGGTATTTCTGCTGTTCCTTTATCTCCTTCTCTTGCCTCTTGAACGTCGTCGTTTTCTTATAAACTTTCTCCTGTTCTTCCTTCGCGATCACGGACGTCGGTCTTGGCGGGCCGACAGTCGCCGGAGGGACCTCGAATTTTGAAGGAGGAAGCGGCTCAGGCTCCGTGGATCTCGGTCTAGCAGGCTGCTTAGGCACCGGTGGCTGAACCCTTCGATAACGCGGCTCCTCGGTGTCGCTCTCGTACGGCCTCCACTTCGCCTTCATCAAACCGTCCACGTCCGACTCGTAATCACTTTCTTGCGTGAAGCTTGCGCCAACTTTGACGAATTTCGTCGGAGTCGGAGGAGGTGGTGTCTTCGTCGGTGTCTTGATCGTCGTTGGAGCAGAAGGTTTGAACGGGAACGGTTCTAGTGGCTCTACAGGTGTCTGTGTCTTGGCTGGAATCGGCGGAGGAGTGATTCTGACGTCTTTGGGTGGCAACGCGGGAGGAGGTTCTTCCCTCTTTGCAGTTGGAGGGATAGTTCTGATCCCTCCAGGGGGGATCTTGGCTGGCTGATGCTCCAAGACCTCCAACGTCTTCTCTATCTTCTCGAGCTTCTTTTCCTTTACCACTGGAGCTGGAATATATCCGATTTCTGGAGGAGGTCCCGGTTCCAGGATAATCTGATCAGTTGGCGTAGTTGGGGTCAGGTGATACAATTGAACCACCGGTCTCTTCGGTGGCTCGACGCTTCTTACGAGACTGGGAGCCTTCAAGTCGTCGGATCCTGCCCATTTCTTCGAATATTTCTCCTCGATCCTCTCCGACGTCTCGGACCTCTTCGTGTCGAGTTCGCTGGTATATTTCTCGTACAGAGACTTCTCCTCCATTTTGTTCACCACGTGGTCCACTTTGATGGTCTCGGCGTTGTAAATAATCGGCTGGGCCTTGGGCGGGGACGGAGCTCTCTTCGACACCTTTTCCATCGACTCCTGCTTCGAGCTCCACGAACGTCTCTCGGTGGTACTCGAAGACTCGACGCTGGTCTTCTTAATACCCCCTTCAGTCTCCTCCACTTCCCTTCTAACTTCCTTTTGCGTGCTTTTGAAATCTTCGCCCGGTGTCTGCCATTCCTGCTTAAATTTCACACCGGCGTCCTCCTGCGGAGGCCAGGACTTCCTCGTGGAATCGGCGCACTTCTTCGCCCAAGATTTCTCCATGGCCAGTGCGTCTGCCGAAGGTCTGGGCGAGGCGGACCTGAGAATCTCCTGGTGACTCGACGCGGCCGATTGACACCTGTACTCCGAGAGATCCGTGGACACGTGAGACCTGGTTTCAAACTCAGACGAGGACGACAACGGCCTGGTAGGTGAGGCAGCTCTGAACGAGAACGAGTAATCCTTCCTCTCGTGGACATCCTTCTTGACACACGGCTCCTCGATCGTCTCTTTCTTCTCGAGTTCGAAGGGCGGGGGTGGTACGGAGAAGGTCGGCGCAGCTCTTGGAGGAGGTTCGCTAACTTTTGGAGAGGGCGTGGGGAAAATCTTCACACCGCCAACAGGCGCTTCTATGGGGGAGAGGGTCTTGTCGAAGGATTCCTGCAGCTGCTTAGCCTTGATCGACACGTCGGGGCGTTTTTTTTTTAACTCGTCGGGCTTCGGCATGTAACCGATCTCCGGGGGTGGCTCCGGCACCAATTTGAAACCTTCCATCAATATATCCGACTTGTTCTCTGACTTGCTCTCCGTTTTACTCTCCATCTTGCTCTCTATCTTCGACACGTGATGGACGTGAGATTCTTGAACGGAGGAGGAGATCGCCTCCTCCGTTACTGTTTTCTTCGTTTCTACCGGTGGCTTGTACGGTTCGTACGGGAAGTCGAACAATTTGTTGTCCACTCCGCGAGAAGCCGTGCTCCCCTGTTCCAACTTCGTGAATATCTCGTGGACCGCTTTCTTTGTTGCTTGCAGCTCGGGAGGCTTCTGTTCCGGTCTCTTCACTTCTTGGAAGGTGGTAGATCTCTCGTAGTTCTTCGTCAGTTTTCCAACCTTCACCTCGTGGCCGTCCGCGTCGTCCACTAACTTGATCATCTCTTTCGGACCTCTCGGCAGCGATGCCTCCGTTTCCCTCGTCATCGATTCGAAGAAACTCAACGCGTCTTTCTTCGCTATCGTCGACGTCTCGATGTTCTCGTTCTCGATTTTCTCTTCGACCACCGTAGTCCTCGGTAGTTCGATCCTCTTCTCCACTTCCTCGCGAACTGTTTCCTTCAACAAAACTTTCTCGTCTGTCTTCGGCTCTATCGTGATGCTAGGCGTTTTGTGCTCCAGCTTCATGTGGAACTTCTGCTCGGACTTGGACTGACTTTGGTGAGACTCGACGGTGGACGAGATCGTTTCCGAGCGACTCATCTTGGTTCCTGGTTCTTCGATCTTCTCGATCGTTCTGGTTGTTTCAGCCACGGAGGTCGACGATACTATCGGGGTTGTTTTTAACGGTGGAGTGGGTTGAATTTTCGTCGCTGTCACGTGTTCGGTTGTTGATTGTTTAACAGAGGGGAGGTCGCTCTTCTTCTCGTCGGACTAAATACGAATATCGGACTTTATTTGACTTTGTTTGGCTTGTGAAGAATTCGCAAACTTGTTACTGCGAATTTTGTTAGTTCGCATTTCTTAGTAAATGGAAGTCGTTCCTGTGTTAGATAACGTAGAGAATTAATGTGGGACAATGAGGATAAAAGATAGGAATGCCGGATTCAATTAATTATTTTAAATTGGGGACTGTGGATTTTGTATTAAAAAATCTTGTCTGGAATTGTTAGATCTGGAGTTTCAAGCAATTTTGTTGTTGACGTTTAAATTTTATATCAACGAGTGAAATTATGAAATATTCAAAATCGTACAATCATATCCGCGATCTATCAATAAAATTAATTCAGAAAATTTTTAATCAAAAAATCAGAAATTAATAATTCTTCTAATTATTTAATTATAAAGTATATAAAATAATATAAATGTATAATTTATGTTAATATAAAATCGTATGAACATGGCCGTGATCTATTAATAAAATTAGTTTTGAGAAATTTTTAACAGAGAATTGAAATACAACTATTTTGAGTTAGATCTTAAAAATTTTAATTTGTAAGTTGGAGATTGAAATTAATTTATTATATAGATTTTGTTATTGCTAAAAATCGATGTGATTAATAATAGTAGAAAGAAATGATCACCTGAACGACTTTCTTGTCTTGCACGTTCTCGTAGATGACAGTTTTATGGACCTCGACCATGGTGTCTGGCGTTGGCTCGAAGACAGCAAAATCGGCTATACTTTGAGCTTCGCCACCGGCATTCGTTGCCCGAATCATGTATTTCCCAGCGTGCTCTTTCTCAGCTAAAATAATATTTATATTATAGTTCAAACGAATGTCTTTGAAATCCACTGGAAAATAATTTTTTCTTTCTTTTTTTTTTCTTTTTTTTTGATAAATTATCGTTGATTTATGGTTTACCTTTGTCGATGAGTAGCATGTAACAATTCCCTTGCTGCTTGATCCTCAACTCCGGTGGACGTTCTTTGATTGGAACATCGTCCTTGAACCACGTAACCGTGGGCTCTGGCGTACCTGTGATTTCTACTTCCATATTAACACGATCTCCGCGTTTCACGACTTGAGCTTGCAATCTCCTGCCAAACACCGGCGGGAATATCGTTTCTGAAATTGATCATCCGCGAGTTTTAGTTTTCATTAGATGCATTTAAAAGTACATGAAAATTATGAAAACTTGAGATGCTAAGTATCGAGAATATATTTGAGAATCACAATAAAGCACAGACGAAACGAAATGAAATTACTAAAAGTAGTTGAATTGGGAATTAAATGTCAATTCTAAAATTTGTATCTGATCGTTCAGACATAGGAAAGTTTCTGCTAAATTCGTCGGTCTAATTTCGTGAAATAACAAAGAAAGAAAATGGAATTTTTTTTAACAAGATTTCTTCCAATTATTACTTACTTTTCACAACGAGATCAGCAGTGCTACTAGCAGTACCGACTTCGTTGCTGGCCGTGCAAGTATACCGTCCGGCGTCTTTGACATTTACGTTTTTCAATTCCAAGCGAACGTGATTGTGCGCGTACGTGATCGTTATCCCGTCCTTCGTCTTTAATTCTTGCCCATTCTTCGACCAGATGATAGAAGGCTGAGGGTATCCTACATAAGATTTGAAAAGTTAGATTATTTCTAACAAATTCAACTTTCAAATTTAATCACAATTACTTTATCGCCGATCCATTAAGGATCGTCCAATAATCCATCATAAATGTGTTTCAATCTTTTTTCCTTTAATTCACTTTCATAACTCTACGATATTAAAAAATATTAAAAATATATTAAATAATATATTAAATAAAATTGTGAGATCGACTGAAGTAAAATCACGAAAGGAACGTCGAATTGTCGCGATGTTGGCCCTTCGTTGGGTTCAACATCTGCTGCGAGATATTTGGCAAGGGCACAGTTGCGTATATTATATAATTACAAGTATGACAGAAGTAATAATTTCAAGTTTCAAGAAGCAGAATATTCTGCCTGCCAAAATCAACTGTTAAATATTTTGTTTCTACTTCGTGAGGTACACGATGTACCATTTTATAAATTCAGATTTACAAAGACAAACTTCGCCTTTTATTTCTTTCCTTCCTTATATCACTAATATAATATTACTATAATATTACTAATAATTCCACGTTCGAATGAGAAAGGAAAATATACTGCTTGCCAGAATCAACTCATTTTGTTACGTACACTTCAAACGTATTTTCAATTATCTTACCATCGATGATCCCCTCGAGGATGATATCTGTACCCTGATCTACGATCATCCCTGTGATGGGTGAAACAAATCTCGGTGCCGTGGATTTTCTAGTTGGTTTTGATATTTGTGCAGATTTGATGTCTCGTTTGATTCCTTCTTCATCTTGGGACACTACTACGGTCTTCTCTTGACGAATCTCGCCTGGTTGGTCTTGAACGATCTTCTCGTGTTCTTCCACTCTATAGGCCTGCAAAAACGAAGATTGAACGATTAATTTCTTTTTTTTTTTTTGTTAAAGAGATATATGTATTTTAGCGGATTAATAGAATTTATCTATAAGATCCAATCTGTGTATTAATCTGCAGGATGGTGAAAAATAAAGATCGATTAATGATTAACTCTTTTTGTTAAAAAGATCTGATGTGTTTGCACAATGCAAACAAACTGAAACAATCAAATTTCTCTCAAATTAGGTAAATGTATTGTATTCTTGAATTATGCGTAAATTATGTATCCATTATATTTCTTATCAAAAATATTTCTATCTCTAAGATTTTTCAATAGTTCGTTCAATTTATTAAAATTTCCTTTACCATCAAACTCACTTAATTTTCAAATTACTCACGAATTATTTTGTCCTCAATTACCCATTAAAGTCTCGATTACCTTTCCATCAAAACAAATTTCATTTCTGATCAATCCAGAAATCTCACCAATACAATCAGCAAACTAATTCATCCTTCCAATAGTTCATTCATGCGACTAAAATTTCTCTACTATCGAACCTTGATAATCTCCAATTTACCCACAAATCATTACCCGTTTCGATTAAAAGTTTCAGCTTTTAATTTTCTATCATAATAATAATCCCACTTTCGATGAATATACTACTCATGTAATGGTAATTATATATAGTTCATTCGTTCCGTGTTATATCGAAACCGCGCTAAGCTTCTTAAGAAATTTAAAATTGATTATTTCGTTACACGATGATCATGCTATATGGAGGGCTGTCGCAATTTTTCCACCGCGTTTTTAGAATGTCACATTATAAGAAGGTTGATTGTATTATCCAATGAAAATATTAAAAATCTTCCCAATAATTCAATTAAACCACTAAGTGTGTGCCATTGTGTAGATTTCCGTTCTATTCATGATTAAACTCTTGAATATATTAAAAGTCTTCCTAACAATTCAATTAAACCACTAGGTGTGTGCCATAGAGTGTAGATTTCTGTTCAATTCACGATTAAACTCCAGAGTCAATATATTACAAATCTTCCTAACAATTCAATTAAACCACTAAGTGTGTGCCATAGTGTAGATTTCTGTTCAATTCACGATTAAACTCCAGAATATATTAAAAGTCTTCTTAACAATTCAATTAA